GAATGTACATTTTTCAATTGATGTCATAATCATGCAGAATCATTTTTTTAATTGATTTCACTCGAAATCAATCGGCCTAACCGCCGATTGATCCTAATCAATACCGGATGCTCAGGGAACGAAAGATACCTAGACATTATTTATCGTTGAGAAAAACGTAAGAAGAGATAAAATGGTGAGAAGAAAATGATAAAGGTACTAAAAAAGGTGGTAAGAAGGTGATAATAAAGATAGTGGAAAGGTGATAAAAAGATGGTAAGAAGGTGATAAAGATAGTAAAAAGGTGATAAAAAGATGGTAAGAAGGAGATAGGAGGGTGGTAAAAAGTGATACTAGAGTTGGGGAGGTGAGAAAGGTGATAAAAGGTGATACGACGGGCGGGCATGTGGGTGAGTGAGTGAGTGGGGATGGAGGGGTGGGGGGTGGGTAAGTGCAAAACTCATAAACGCTGATGATAAAAAATGACAAGGATAACAAAGATGATGAAATAATGATAAGGTGGTGGCCCAATCGCAGCAATTTGCCCAACCGATTCTTGGGCAAAATTTGCTGCGATTGACTTGTTCGTGGTTATTTTTTTAATCAGCAAAGAACCAATCGCAGCAAATTTTGCCAACCGATTCTTGGGCGAAATTTGCCGCGATTGATTTGTTCGTGTTTTTTTTAATCAGGAAAACAGCCAATCGCCGCAAATCTTGCCAACGGATTTTTGGGCAAACTTATATAAATCAGGAAACAGCCAATCGCAGCAAATTTTGCCAACGGATTTTTGGGAAAAACTTGCCGCGATTGACTTGTTGATGGTTATGCTATAACTTCATTAACCCAAGAAGACGTTCACATGATGCATAGAGGTCCCTGCCTCATATATATATATATGTGTGTGTGTGTGTGCGCGGGTGTGTGTGTGTGTGCACATGCACAATTTGAGGCTGTATCTTTCGGATGGCGATGTTGCTACGCGGGGATTGCTCAGCGTCAAGGAATTATTTGCACTGCGACTCGGAAGAACTACGTGCCTACACGGACACAGAGAGACCTGCTTTGCATAGCACAGCACTGTTAAGCTCTTCTCCGGCCTCGTAGGGCCTCGGCAGAAAACCTGCACCAAGACTTCCAGCCGGCACATCCTCCAAAGCTTCTGCCTTGGCGACAAAGCAAAATGAGGCAAAGCTGCACGGAAGACGACTAAAACGTTAATCAACAACATTTCCAGAAGAGCGGTATGTGTATGTGTATGTATGTATGTGTATGTATATATATATATACATATACATATGTATACTATATGTATGTATATGTGTGTGTGCGCGCTTATTCAGCTTTTTCAGAATCCGAATCGCTGTGACAGGTTCCTCTTGGCCCCATGCTGGTGGAATACACTGACAAGGATGTAGCCAATAATCATCCACTACAGGAGTTCCCGGGTCATCCAGGATCAATGCCGACACCACCTCTGATTCCTCCAGTTTCCCCTCGACAGTCTCAGATTGCGTCACATTCGGTGGACCGCAGGATGGAATGAGCCTTGCAATGATTGCAGTGCAACCCATCTCAAATTCTGAGCCACTGCGATATGACACAGTTAGTAATTTCATGCTGTCCCAGAAGCACTGATGCCTGACCCTGCAGCTCATTGGATGTTGTTGCGACACGGATGTCCAAAGGGGAGTTGTCAAAGGCGTCTGTGACAAGGTTCCAGCTGTTCTCATCTACCATCGGTTTCAAGCACGCGGCTCCTGTCAATACATGTGGGCCGCGTGCATGGTCTGACCTACAATCTGTGCCGATTCCTTCTTTCCTGTCTTACGGAATGGTGACTACAGTAGTGCTCTGATACTTTGCTGTTGTGGGTCTGGGGACTCATGAAGGGAAGGAGATCGAGGCTTCTGCATCTGCGAAACAAGCTGCCTTGCCTGCTCCGTAGAGCTCGACGTAAGAAGACGTGTCGTTCAAGTAATCATTTTGCGGATCCGACCTGAGGGGGCAGCTCCCGGGCTCGCACCACACAAGAGTTTATAGGCTTCAAAGCTCACAGGCGAGGTTCCATTGGAGGTTATGACAACAGGCATGCTTCAAATTAAACTAGCCAGTTGACATCGACAGTATTCCCCTCTCATCGCAAAGAAAACAACCGAAACTTTCAAGGTTTAGGGTATAGGGTATGGGGTATAATAGGGTTTCGGGTTAAGGGCTTAGCAGGTCTCACCCTGCTGCAGCCAACTGGGATGCGGGCTCTTTGAGGATCCAGTGATTGCCTGCAAGACATGCTGAACCCAGGTTCGCGTTGTCTTCCTCACCGAAAACGAGCCAGAAGGAATCCTGCTGCGTGCGCCCTTCCTTCAAGAAGACCTGGCCATTCTCACCATCTGAACTCTCACCAGCGGGGCAGAACTCTCCCGAGAGAAAGGCAGCATTGGTGATCTTCATCTCCAAGCAGCTCGTCCGCTCTGCGCAGCCGGAGTACTTGGTATAGACTTCGACCGCATCCAAGCAAGTAGTCTCTGAAAGAGCACACAGCTGGGAGTATTTAATGCAATCAAGCGATGAGGTGTGCCGGTAGTGAGTGCAAAAGAAATCCCTTGCACAAAGGCGTCGGCACCGGATTTCCGTACCACCTGACTCGACCAATTCCTCTTGTTTAAACCTGTGGGTTTGTCGTATCCAACAGTTGGTGTCACGAGCTTCGATGGAGATTGTGTAGGAGAGGACAGGGCCAGTCTGCAGTGGAGGCCACTCGTAAAGAGCATAAATGACGAACTGCGCTGTAAGCGATGCCCGAGTTGGACCAATTTCCAGCTCTGCCAGCTCTTCTGCCGGATCCAGCTTAAGGGCCCCGGTCTTCACATCAAGTTGGAAAAGCTGATAGGAGTCATATGTCATGACGCCTGTGAATATGTCAAACACGTACTTGCTCCTCTCATCCTGGCAATTGCAATAAATCTTCTCTGCCAGACCGCTCTAAGTGCCTATTGCGTGAAACTAGAGGCCGCTTTGCGCACACAAAATGCCAGCAAACCTGAATGTCAAGCCAGTGTAACAATCAACAGCAAGCAAATGTTTTACGACTGCGAAAAAGAACGGTGCATTGTCATCCACATATGAATGTTTTGCAAAACCTGGACAATCTCATGATACAGTGTACGAGTCAGTTGGCGCTTTGGGGGCGCTGTGTTTCCTTTGCGAGCTTGGCATTCCTTGCGCGCGTGCATTTTCAGCTGTGTTCAGCGCTGGCTGCATAATGAACATCAACTAACTATGTTGTTGTGGACAACCCCTATACATGCTGGCCCAGAGTGCTACCAAAAAACAATTGCGCCCAGCATCCATACTTTTCACTGATAGCAGGCATGCCCCGACAGCATGATCAACAAGTGAAACACATGCATCCACGCATCTGTCAGGAAGACTCCTGCATCATAGTTATCGTAATTCTTCACCAATTGGGCATTTCGAGCCTATTCTGCCACCAGCTTTTGATGGCGCAAGGTGCTTGGAGAGTTGCGCCGACACAAACCCTGAATGTGACAGCGGCAAGAGACGCATGTTGCGCTGCTGGAGCTATGAATACAATCGGGAAAAAGCCTAGGAGAGCTTCTGCGCCACACGGCAGACATTTGTCTGGAAGAGATAGGGATTTATGTGTTCGTGTACATATGTGTGTGTGTGCGTGTGCAATTTTAGGCTTCTCAATCTCAGGCCAAATCCCAGAAGTCCCTGGAAACTATCTAGCCGAATCTGACCCTCTGGCCGCTCAAGTCCCTGAAATCTTCCAAAAGCTCCGGTCCTGGATGAGGTTGCTGACGGTTGCTGAGAATCTGCTTGGGGCAAGCTTCCCGGGCTGCTCAACGGGCATCAAGACTGGAGCTTCTTGACCGAATGTCGCATAGAGCGTGTCTGGGTCATACTTCAAAAAGCTCCAAATGTGAGGCACAACTGCCATGAATGAAGACGTGGCACCATTCCCCGACAGTGAGCAAATTCCGCCTGTGATTTCAGAGATTGGATCAATGGAGACTCCTCCATGGCTTTCCGTGACTACACTAGTGACTACACCGGCCAAGGTGACACGCCAAGTGCTCGGTGCCACAGTGGTAACCTCTTCTAAGTTGTGCGGAACGCAGGACACCGATGGCGGGTCCACCAAGCTTGGCGCACCGGGCTGCAAGGCAGGTGAGCTTGCAGTTGCTTCGAGCTGGTCTACTTCCACGTAAATCTCAAGCGCTGCTGGGCTTGAGATGCTTTCATTGCATGCAAGGTCGCCTGGAAAACAAGCAAAGATACCAGTCCCAAACTCTGTGCTGTCACTATTGTAGCCGCCATAGATCTGAAGAGATCTGCCTCCTGCGCTTGTCTCCGCCACGCAAAGGCTTAAGCGGCTTGGTCCTCCTGGATTAATTGCTGGTCCGTCGCATGGGACGCCAGCGGAGCTTTCGCCGTAGCGGCTGGATGGCTTATTGACCTTCCAGATGTGTTGAAACGACTCCGAGAGAGACGCACGACCACTTGCACCCGTGTTAGTCGGGTTGATCGGCTGGGCGAACGGGTTGTTGTTCGAAAGAAAGCGCTCAGTTCTGAGATATTCTGGTCCACTCACAAAGTTCCGGACCACAAAACGATAACTGCTCACATTGTCAAGCTTTGGGCACTGGTTGCCAATCGCGCTGGGGTCAGAAAAGTCTGATGAACCCCACGATTCGTAGATCCAAGTGTCTCCATCAACCGCCGCAGTTGAGGCAACACGAGCACAAAGCTGAAACGCACGTTGGCCAGGGACGAAGATGAGGGGATAAGAGCCGTAGGAGGGGCCCGCGGCGACGGTGACGCTCAACTCTGCTTCAGCAGTGAGGCCAGAAGCTTCACGTGCGGTGATGGTGCATGAGGTACTGAAGGCTTCAGCGGCGCCGCAGCCGACCTGTTTCTTGCGCCGAGGTCCCATTATCCAACCCCTGACTCATCCTGACCCCACAAACTATTCCCAACTTTTCTGTATTCCCAAGAAGGGAATCACAAGCTCCAAAACACGATAGCCTCAATCCCCCAAAGAACAAAATGTGAGCACAGACTGCCCACCTGAGTGCAGCCTGACTTGAGTTTCAACTCACCTGTACGGCCGTCGATAGTGAAGCCGAACTGGAGCAGTTGGCAACCATCATTCACAAAGTAGTCGGAAGCAGTCCGTGGTACTGGGTGCCCAACAACGCTGGTGGATGCTAGGACAAGAGGTCCCACATAGTAACTGAAGGGAGTGGCAGCCCGGTGGCCGCCGCCACACCTACAGCAAGCTTCCCTTGCTGAGACTTCTTTCACCTTCTCGCCTTGACAGTCTGCGTCCGCACAAGATTCGCCGGAACGGCCTTGGTCTTCAACAAACATTTAAACAAAGAAGAAGTATGAATACACACGTATATACGTGTGTATGTATATAGGGATCATTAAAGACTCCCCTGTCTAAAGCTCGAGCACACAGTTCCTGGGAGCCGCGCTCCTCCACTCGAAGTCCATGCATGCTTCGCAGCCAGAAGCTGTAGCCACGAAACCCCCAAGGCACTGGTCGCATGCAGCACCTGATGAGAAAACAAGGGGAGAAACCTACTAATTAATACCTCCACAAATACCTTACGTGCAAGGTTCACGATGAACATAAGTGAACCTTTTTTGCATCAGGGCTTGTGCAATCGCCTGAATGTCTGAGCTTAACATAAGTGAACCTAAACCCCAAACCCTGAAGCCAATTTTGTTCACAAGGGACTCGACTGCTGCCCTTACTGCCCAACTTGACCCACAAGACAGTACTCATGACGGTGATGCGAGACCGGCCACTTCACGGCCCCTAAACCCTGAAGCCAATAAACCCTAAATCCTACTGTAAAGAAGGATGTGTTAACCGCCTAAACGTCCAGTTTCATAGCCAAAGCACCGTTGGAGGCCAATGATGCGCAGCCTGAACAAAAAGTGTTCTGATGGCCGCAGCAGGCGTACTGGCCGGTTGATGGGTCGAAAGTGGCAACCTCCGTGTCCAAGTCACAAGGGATGTGCCTGAGCATGGCAAATCAAAACTCAAGCATCGAGAACGGCTGTTTTATCTGCGCAAACTCGGCTGCAGGCAAGGCTCCCCTGAGCCGAAGTCGATTTCGAAACCAACTTCAGCTCTTTCATATCATTCATATCTGACGCTTCCCTTGCCCTTGCTCTAGCGGAGCTAGCAGAGCACAATCCAAAAGTTGCATTCACCTTCGTATCCTTGCGAAGAGCCAGCGGCGTCTGCGACTTTCCCACAGGCTTCGAATGTGTTGGAATTGGAGGCCCAACCCCGGGCTTGGGCAGCGGGATCTTCATGGACTCTGCGGGGCCCATGTCAGGGCCCAAAGACCGAGCCGCCCTGTGAGCGACCGTCGGCTTCGGACGCCGTGGGCGCTCACTCAAGGAGCCTGCGATGCTTATATGACTTACATCCTTTCCTCTGTCTGACTTGGTTGGCCTCTCTTGCGAGAGTTCTGCCAGGAGTACCTCATGCAGCTCAACAACTAAAGACTTGGATCCTCCAGCACCATGCCCCGCTTCTGCCTAGACTGCAGCCCAGGCGCGACACCACTGTTGTTAGTACTAGTCGATGTGGCCTGCACACTCGTAACAGCAAGCGGCAACAGAGTCTGGATGCGAGGCGCTCACAACTGTACTTGACGTCCAAGCCACGCTGGTGGTGGTTTCAATAGACGTAGCTGTTGTCGTGCTGGTGGTCGTAGTGGTCGTCGCCTGCAAAGGGCACACACACAACAAAAAAAGGAAGAATAACGGATTCAATGATCGGAAACAGAGGCAGAAACTCGATCAGGCAGCGCACCTGACTGCTGATGAAAAGGACGTCCGTGTCATTGCCCTCAACCACGCCAAGTACTCCTCCTCTGCCAGGCTGCTGAACAATATAGGCGCATGCATCCTGCGTGAGAAGAAACTCGATGGTCGTTCGAGGATCTAGATCGGGCCCTTGCCAAGTGTCTTCGCACGGAAAGGGCCCTCTTGTGTCATCGGCACAAGCGACTGTGGCACACTCAACAAACTCAACAGGTTCACCGGTCAAGTCTGTCAACTTGCTTGAGAAGGTGGTGTAGGCAGCAAGCTTGTGGTCGAAGCTGGCATTCCCTGTTCCGCATGTCGTAGCTCTAATTAATCTCTCCTCCATGTCCGCATTGCAAACCTGAAAAAGCTGCTGGATCTCATCTTCAATCAAGCCACAACCTGTGATGATAGCGCCGTTACTCCCGTTAGAGCTTGCGCGAGCTGGCTGGTTGCTGATGGTTACGTTGCATCCTTCTGCCTCAGTGATGTTGCAGACCTCTTTAACGATAGCACCACTCACGTTGCAAATGCCTACTGGGAATGGGATTGGAGTAGGCCTTGAGGTCTCTTGCGAAAGCAAGTTTTGAACCACTTCGTCAGTGAAATTGGAGAGAACATCGGTGGCAGACTCTGCAACCACTTCGGGAATCGTTGCCACGGTCTCTTCCAAATCCTGCGTGGTGTTCTGAAACTCTTGCTGGGTGTTGCCCAGCTCCTTCGTGGTGTTGCGCAACTCCTGGTGGGTTTTCTGCAACTCCTGATTGATACTCTGCAGATCTTCTGCTACATCCTTGAGGTCGCTGCACGCAGAACAAGGCGGCTTGTCATTGTAAGCATGGTGACGGCGCCCTCTGAACCGGGGGATCAGGGAACTATTCCCCTGTGAGCCATGGAGACTTGCCGTGTCGACAGACAGTGTTGGCTGCATCTGCAACAAGGCAGCCGGCTCGCCCTCATCCCGGGGTTTTGCATCACATTGATCCGACTGGTCCGATGGGTCCGCGTTCCTGGCTAGAACCGTCACTGCGCACAGGACGAAAGCCATCATAGCAGGAAACATCGAGAATCCTTGGCAAGCAACCATGGCGGGAACTATGGCAGGAAACTAGGGCCGAGAACTGCTGGCTTCGCCAATACGACGATACACAGTTTTTTGCAAACGCTGCTACTACTACTACTACTACTACTACTACCTACTACTACCTACTACTTCTACCTACTACTACTACCTACTACTACCTACTACTACCTACTACTACTACTACT